GATAAATGTTTACTTTGTATTGGCTCTGTTTGAGATCTTATCCAGCAGAAGGTCGATACTTAAGACTTAATACTCGAAAGGAATGGTTTACTGCTATGTTAGCCATTAAAATTTTAGTCGTTTGAGCTACCTTTAGTATTCGCTTGTTTAAAATGCTCCATGTTATTTTAAGACCAACTACGATTCTGCCTTATCTTTGCTTCTTCCAGACCCACTGATGATTGTTATATTTTGTTTAGAGCCCTTTTTAAACCTTAAACACAGGCCTTATAGTATCGATAGGCTCTTTTGCGTCGATCTACGCCACTGCTACAAATTCCACGAGGGCTTATACATTTTTTCGCCACGTTCACCATCTTGGCAGCCATCCAGCATGTCACACTAGACTTTTGTGAAGTTAAATGAGAAAAGGTTTAAATTTTGTAGAATTTACCTGCCCGAGTGCCTTGTTGCTCATTATCTTTCCGTAAATTACGATCGGCAGTGTTGGATATACTGATTTGTCCATGCCTTCTCTTTCGTCAGCAAAGACCGCATATGAAGGGTCCAGCATCTTTGTGAAAATCCTAATGGACTCCTCCTATCGATGGGATGGATCACCTCGAATAAGGATCAGCTTCAATTTCATATATCACTGATTTCGTGGATCGGGAATGGAGACCGTATCCAAACTTCCGGCTTTTCATCCTTTTCCTTAGTCACAAACAGATCTAAAGCCTGCACAGGCCATGTAACCAGCTTCATTTTAGCAGTTTCACAGATTATTGATGTAAAAATATTTGAGATAATAAATTTCTTTCAAGTTTTTAATGGTCTTTTTCAACCCAGTAGACCGCTGTCGTGAAAAAGCCCAACGCTGACTCTAAGTTTTAGTTTCAAAATAGCCGGGCTCAGACTCACACAGCTGACATCCGCCGCCTTTTGCTGGCGACGGTTACTTATCAAAAAGCTGTGGGTGGCAGATCCAATGAGCTTCCTTTTGTTTCGGCATCCTGAGTCTGATTCTGAACTTCCTCCCTGTTTGTTTTCCATTGAATTAAGTCTGTGGAGCACGCCTTTTAATACTGACGTCATAGTTTTGACGGTAATTTAACAATTAGCGCAATTTCTGAGATCTTTTAAAAAGTTTTTAAATAAAGGAGTCCTCGTCGCTTGTTCGTGCTCTTTTTTTTCTCCGTAACTTCCTTGGTTACTGGAACAAACACGAGATAGCAGTTGCAAAGGGCCCCACCAAACGATAGCCAATAGTCGTTATTTGAATTCATAAAGTTATGTAGTTTATATGAGGTGCAACAAGTGAACCCTCGTCATGGTGATGTTTCCTCTGCTGGTCTGTAATTGCTTTTTTTTTTCAGGCTCAGGAACCCGTCATTTGGCAGATTTTTTCGTAAATCTTCGAAGTTGCTGCTGGCCACTGACATATTTCTCTTCCCGTCAGTGGTAGATTTACAGAGTTATGCATGAAAAATACTTGACTCTGCTGAATCCCCTTACTTCCAGGTGGCATCTTGAAACAAGAAGAGGCGTTCTTTCGGCGAAAGCCTCTTTTTGCCAAGTATTATGTCGAGTTCTCGTAGATGTCCGTTGAAACTGTTTGATACTAAGTGACAAAGTCAATGAATTCACCGTCGCATGAGCTCTAGCTTGCTTTAGTCGCTGGTAGAGTAAATTTACCAAAGAAAAATTAGGACGTCTCGGTAGGCTAGTTGTCAAACGCGCATCGGCATCAGGATCCAGTCAAAACCGACTGTTTGGCGTCTCTGAGTTCACTAAGGAGAACCGTTTCGGCATGAAGACTAAAACCCATAATTTCTGTTTGCCTGAAAATCGTTATTCAGGCCACAGTCCGCGAACTTCCATTGACTTCCCGACTCACTTTGCATTTATAAATCCGCTCTGCTAAAAGCAGTTAGGTAGTCGGACTTGCAGACAACATGAAAACGTGATTCACCACACAAATTTGACCGCCGCGAGATAGACTTTATCATCAGCTCCACCGTGATATGGGGTCATATGTTCGTTAATTCGAAAAGTTACCTTCCTTGTGCTAGCACGTTTCATTCGCAGAAACAATCTCTTGATTGCCTGTAAATATCTGGATGAGATTTAGACTCGCACCTGCGAGAAGTGGGTTGGAAGATTAGACTTGCGTTCACACATCCTAACCTGCTCCTCATCTGATACTCAAAGTTGGTCCCTTTGTTTTTATCGGGGGTTGTACATGTACTATAAAGGTACATTCACTTTCGAACTTCACTAGTCGGCTGCATCCGGTGTCGCTACAAGGACACTAAACGTACCGTTATGAATATATTAAAAGAAGGTAGTTTTGAATTATTAGTGGGACAGTTTCAATCCACTGTGACACTGATGACCTCAAAGACCTAATACATCTGATCGATTTCTCATTATCTCTGTTCCCGTGGACTCGATGCTCGTCAATACGGGGTTGTGTCGTAGATTAACCTGTTACGGACGAAAACCAGTGGAGCCTAAGTAATATTTTCTAGTTTGTTCGCCTTTAGTATGCAGTCGTAGTTCAACTACAGACCTGGAGAATTTGAAATTCGGTCACCTGTTCGTCGGGAATTTGATTAAAACCCTCATCCTATTGTTTGCGGTTGACACGTTTGTCGACCTATTCTACTGGCTTAACCTAGTCGGATTTGAACCGGTTGAGAGTCTCGATACCGATTTTGGGACTACGAGCGATCAGTTATCGAGACCGCAATGTGCATTCTGCTGTATATTCGGAATTATGCATCAAGTGTGACACCTCAAAAAAGATGGTCGAGATATGTGTGAGCTTAACTAAAACACAAATTTAGATTTGAATGGATTCCTGATATTCCTTAGAATGGCTGCCTTTGATGTGCACCACTGCCTTTCTACTGAATACGTTTATGCTTGTCGGGAGGCTCTGTCTCTCATATTTTTGAAAACTATTTCGTTGATTCGATACAGCCTTCTCCCTCACGTTATACTCATTACTGTCTGGTAAGAGCCCCTGCCAAAGGTCAGAGTTTGAAATATGGGCGCGAAAAGCTGTGTAAGTACGGAATGTACCCAGTGCCTTCCTAATAGAACCCGAAGTCTTGCTTTCTTAGAATATCAGTCCAACGGCAAACTGTCCCAGGATTGCCTTCGGGCATTAGGCCTGATCGTTTGTCTGTGCATTTCATGAATACTTCATTTTCTCATTTTATTTTATTTTATTTTGCCTTTCTACAGTACTCAACTTGGGAGTCGTCCTTTTGTTGGCACTCCCGTACCGGCCATGGAGTTTTCAGACTGGCTTAGGGACTACTTACTGGGTCTGAGCAGCAATGTAGACACTGTATTTGTGGAATATATCCACGGCCTGCTGCAGGATAACTCCATGGATAATGCCGAGAAGCTTGAATGCATCAGCGAATTCCTCAGCTCGGTCACAGTAAGTCGCTCTCTGTTTCACTAAACGACACATTATAAGCTGTGTGCCTCGTTATAACTTACGTTCATTTAAATTTCCCAGTTTCCTTCACACAAAAGCTCTTTTTCTGTGAAGTTAAGTTGGGTGAATTCAGTTTAGTCTCTCTGAGCTGTCCTGCTGGTATAGAACTCCATAGAAACCAACAACGCAGATTCCGTGGCGCAGTGGCTAGTTTTGATTTGTTAGAACCTTGGGGTTGGGTATGGGTGGCGGATGACAGCTAATAAGTCAGAAATTATAATTCCAGTCTCACTTGTCTTTGTCGGTAATGTGTTTCTGTCTTGAATTTTATCAATAGCCATATATAGCCGCGTGTATTTATCTAATTTGTTGCCTTTTTGTTGTAGTCATCTGAAAAGGCTACTACAGGGAGTTCGGTGATATTGGAGCATTTTGCAGCCTGTGAGTCCCTGAAGTATTCTGCACTTTCAAATACTTTTTGTGACCAACATCCTCCGCGGTAGACAACACTTCTGTCTTACCTTGTTCCAACAATTTGTCCATTGATTTCGATGATGTCTACCATATGCCCTATAACAGCGTGGTGCAGGGGGCGGGGACTTGTGTGTGAATTAGTTTTAAGTGTAAGTAGACTTGCGCAGCATCTACCACACTCTCTGCTCCCTCATTCACCTGTGCTCGATGTCAGGAAGACCGCAGGTGGGATTGGGCGTCGTGTCTGACACGGCCGGCGAACCCGTCTTCGCGCGCGCCACTGC